GACAAAAGTCAAAGATGTATGACTTCAAGGGTGTAGGGGCAGTTGGATTTGCTGTAAAAACGAACGTAAAGAAACACGTTAGAATAGAATGGTTATTTGACTTCCGGACCCATGTTTGCACTATCTTCGGTCTTCCTATTTCAAGACATTGCTCTGTTAATCTTCATTGTTTACAGAATACGTCATGACACAATAACCACAAGTGTCTGGATATAATCAACAACGTTGAGTAGCATTGTAGCATACCATTACCTTCATGCGCAGAACATCCCATGAAGTCGGTTCTTAGACAAGGCCAGCCATGCCAGTATTGAGGATTGATACGAAGATATCGAGCGTTGACCATAGGGTTCAAGTCCCTTGCGACCACACCGTTGAGGTTAGTGTTTCCATGTATAACCTTCAAGTAATTTCAGAAAAACAAAATCAATGATTAACACAGGGACTTTCTGCAAAGAAATAAAATGTAACTCGTAGGTGGCAAAATTTATCTTCACAACCCATATTGCAAACAGGAATACACAGACTCAGCGTTGCTCACATGCTTTTAGTTAAGCGAGTTAGATGTAAACGGATTTAAAAGAAAAACAACAAAGAGAAGTAAATGCAAATCTGTTTTGAATTGTTCAGTTTTTGTCCAAACCATTCTCGTGGAAATAAGCAAAGGAGAAGAAAAATCACAGAAGAAAGGAATCACATCGAAGACCGACGAGATTAAAACAAAATGAAAGGTATATGACAAGTAGATGGTAGTATTCTCCTTTTGAAATGAGTGCTGGTCGCCTAGTTATGCGCATTAGTGGTAAATTCGTAATATTTAAAGACAGAACTTAGTGGCACTTCCGTAAAAGTGAAAAACGTTTTGAACAATGCAACATGCTATCTTTCTGATCATGAGAAACGTACGGTTTTCGCCTGGCTGCATGGATATCCATTAATGATATAAGTATCCTCAGGACACTGAAAGAGTAAGAGTGATCAACTGTCAAGCTTCTTAAGCTTAGCAATGAAGACATTGGGGTTTGCTCTCGAAATAATCTAAAGTAAAAATTCTTTTATCAATATTAAAACCCAAACTATGTTAGACATGAGTTATTCACTAAGACACTGACCCCTACACTGGTGTACAAGTATTGTGATTTAAAAAATTCATACACACGGTTAGTAGTAACTTTGGCAGTGAATTGATAAAGTTATGCACATAAATTTTGCAGCTAACATTCTGACAATTTCTGGCGCCGTGTGTTCGTTTTATTTTGTACATAACAAAGTGCAATAACATATTTTTACAACCACACACTTGATTGCTACTAGTCGGTGGTTTTTATTACACAATAATTTCTGAGTCAAATTCTCTATTTGCTTACATCTCTTGAAGAACCAGTGCAATATTCTGGAACATCACAATCAGTTTGGACTCCACGACATAATGTTCCTCGTTTCTTAAACTAAACAAGAATCAGAATACGCCATTAGATCGCGTAAAACACCAAGAACCATAAGTTTCAAGGATGAAACACTTTGATGTATCTGTTATAATTATTTTGGATCCTATACCAAGCATTTCTCGCGAGAAAATTGATCTTGTAGATAATTGAAATAACGTTATTTCTTCCTATAATGTCTTTTTTTTGTTTTCTTCTGCAAATATACCCTAAAAATAGAAAGTACGTTTGCTACGTAACTTTATAGGCGCCTCAGTGTGATCATGCTTTTCATTCATAATCAAAAGAAGTAGAAAATATTTTGACTTATGGATGATAATCAAGTAAAGAAAGCCCCCCGTAGGTGAGGTGCAATTGAGGGAATACCAGAAAAAGATGAATATAAAATCCAGACTAATATCCTGCTTAAAAGTGCTTTTTCTCACAGCAGCGGTTGTCAGTTGAATTTCTATAATCTTTTCTTAAACTTTATCCAGTCTCTAACTCAACACTTCTCAGTTTCATGAGCCCGTAATTTTCAAGGGATTGTTGATTATTTTGTTACCAGACAGTTCTTGCAGCATGTATGATGTAAGTCACTGCACTGTGATTCCTTTTTAAGGACACAGTTGTGAGGTTCACAGCAAGGATCTTTGGCCTGGCACATCTGAGGAGATTAAAAACCATTTTCATCATTCCTGATCATGTCCGAAGAATGAACGTTGTCACGTCATGAAAGAAGTCAGCTATTGTAAATGTTAAACAACTTAACCCTTTAACTCGCAAGATCTCATTAGTAATTCTCCTTACTGTCTGCCATATAGTTCTTGTGAGTTAGTTTAGAGAATTTGATATTGGATTAACTAAAAATCCCTTAGTTAACATTTTCCTTTACTCTCATCACTTGTCTGCTTGATTTTGTAAGGAGAAATTCTTTGCTGGTTGCCCATGGGAGTTAAAAGGTTAACATCTCCTTACAGCGACATAAGTCTTTACAAAGACATCACAATAAATCCCGCGCTAAAGCAATTTGAACAAATAGAAAGTAATTTATCTCAAATCCTTTTATAACAAAATTTTAAAACCTGAACTCTCAAAAAAGGAATATTTTCAGATCATCACCGTTTTCATTATTCCGGGGAATTTGGTATTAAATCAGGTAATTTTCCCTGGTTGATGTTTTTCTCTCTTCTCATCATCTTTCCACTTGAAATCTATTAAAATATTTATGAGAAATTTATTTAGTTTTATTATTTGCCATTCATGTAACCTAACGAACCTCAGGGGTACCGCAGTCGCACTCCTCTCCTTCCTCACGTATGCCATTTCCACAATAACTGTTGTAGGCCTAAAGGAAAATCAAACGAACCAACATTCTGAAGGTGCTCTTCTTGCTACTGAACTGCATATTTTAACCGAAATCGAAACTAAAGTGATGATCAAAAATGAGATATTTATTTGCCATACCTATGTTTGTGACAATTGCATCCAAATTTTCTACATTTAAGTCCAAAGGCATCATCCAAACGCTATCCAAATTTTGATTGGAAAATGAGTTCGTTGAATGAAAGGACTCCGTTACATAGGAGATATTTTCATTTTGTCGAAATTTTTAAGGCTGTTCCTTAATAAAGTTTACATCACTATTCCAGGAAGTTTCCGGTTTACTTTGTTAAGTTCCAGGACCGTTTTACAAAGTTCTTGAAAGGTAACCCTTTTAAACAAGGAACTCCTTAAAAGGCCGATAATTTTAGTATAAATTATCATCCAAAATATCCCCCCCCTCCCCTTTCTCTGGTTTGTTATGGTTACCTTGTAAGTTGGTACGTTGTACAAGCATGCGTCATTGACCTTTTGAAGCGATTTAAGGCTGCAATCCGAAAATCCTGGAAGTCTAGACCTGAAATCAATATTGGAAAAATTCTCTTAAGATTTCATTAATGGAAATAGAGCAGATATGTACACATCACCTACTCCAGAAAAAAATGCAACTGCGATGCATTTCGTCTTACATATTAATTCTTCCTCTGCTTTAGTCTAGTTTTTTAATATGATTTTATTTGTATTCAATAGTATTTTACTGACTGTGTTTCCTAATGATGTTTTGTTGAATAACTCAACACTAGAACTCCTTGTAAGGAAGAGTGGTTTACCTTCATTTTCATCGAATACTATGACAATACAGTAAAAATGGACGGTATTATTAAGGTGAAACTGAGTAATAATAATAACACACTTTATGTAGAGCACTAATTCTATCGTCATCCAATGACAGTACTTTACAGTGACTGAAATAAACATGAAGTGCTTGAAAATCTTAACTGGCAGGAGGCAGACCAATTGGCTATGTACACAGCGCAGCTGAGGAGTTGACCTCGTGGCGACCGAGAACAAATCCAGTAAATGGTGGGGTGGACAACTTGAACCTGGGATCACCAGATTTCAAGTCTAGCACCCTAACCAATCGGTCACACCGAGTAATGTAAGTGTATCTCATTGCCAGATGTTTTTGGGAATAACTTACCTGCTACCTCCCATGAAACAGCCTCGTGAAGATAAGCACTTGCAGGTCCCTGTATTTAAACGAAAGGTTGTGTAAATGAGAAAAAATAAAACAATAACTGGTAAGATGAACGATTTAACAAAATTAGAAGCTAAGAACTGTAAAATAGCTAAAAAAACACTACTGAGTCAAAATTTCTTTTTGGACATTGCGTGAATCTATATCTTAACGGCTTGATTAGATTTGTGTAAAACACAAACAGATTTAAGTCAAAATTTAAAAGTTATATTTCTGCCTCCTCTTTCAGACATTAGACCCTGTAGGTATCGTGTGCATTTTCATGTTGTCATAGTTATATTCTAACGTAACTCCGAGCCAAGATCATTTCTACAATTATTTGCGATTAGAAAAAGCTTTAATTTGCCAAAATAATCGAGAAAACATGAATTTGTGTTGAAAAGTCTCACTATTCTTACCTGAGTCGTGATTGAACCCAAAGTTGTGACCCAATTCATGAGCAACAGTTGCATGAGGACCAACACTACTTTCATAATACCACTACGAAAAAAAAAATGATGCAACGACCGTTTTTCCTCCCTGGTTTAGTTTTGGATGTTATAACTCCTGTGAGGTATATTTACCATTAACTATATTTGACCTTTAGATTCTATGGGGGGTAAGAAATCTCTTTATACTAGGTTTGAGCATGCCCCAACCACCGTCATTTCGGCTGATAAAAAGCCAAAGCCCGCGCTACTTTAGGGAGTATTTCGATTGAGTGCCGTAAATCCAAACATATGGTAATAACGACAGCCAATCATAAATAGGGAAAGATCACATGAACCAATGGGAAAGCAAAGTCAAAACAAATAATTTGTCTAGAGCGCGGGAAAACGTCGGCGATCAAGTCTTGACTGGTGCTTCTTTTGCCTCTGATTGGTTGAGATTGGCGAATGTATTCTAAAGGATCTCAGGACATAGTAAGGCAAAAACAATGCAATTCATATTTCTTCGCATAACTTACGGCGTTTATAGAGTTTGAATATCCGCCACACATCGTATTGACCCATGCTAGACCAACAATATTCGGGGGCCAACTTTTGTGACTGGAAAAAAAAATGAAGCGAAATAAACCTGGAAAACTTATTTTCCTCAACGACTGAGGTATAAAACAAAATTCACGAGACCAGCCAACGACAAAAAACGAAGTTTTGTTGTCTACTGTTTGAAAAAATTTACCTTAGTAAAAGAGCGTTGTCATGAGGGAACCTTTTCACCAAATGTTTATTTCGATAGGCCATGAAATTTTTTAATTCGGTCGCTGAATTTCGCACTCGCCCGAAAGGATCTCCGTTTGTCCAGATTTCCAAGTACTTCAGAACTATCCTGATGTTGATTCGCTGATAGATCTTTACAAGAGACAAAAAATCAAAAGATATTTAGTTGGTAGATAATTAATTCATCCTTTATTAAGCTATAAGGAGAATTGCGTAATGACTATGTGCTTATCGACAGCAAAATCAAGTCAGATCAATTAATAGTGGAAATTGTCCTTTCTTGCTTGAAAAATACATTGATAATGTGGGGAACATTTCCTTTTTCAGTCATTTCTGCGATTGAAAGAGTCAATACAAGGAAAGGGTGGAACTGGGGAGGGGTTCAGGAGGTACCCCCCCTCCCCCGAGATATAACGGATAAGAAAACTAGCTAGAAATAAAAGTACGACTTTGGTACGACTTCATCCTGAACCTTGGTCACCCGCAAGCGAGGACAGTTTAACTTCACAAATTTCACAATCTATCGTAAATGGTTGAAGAAGTTTAAATGGTCAAACTGCTTTAAATGCAGTTAAACTTCACAAATTGCACAGTCCATTTCAACTGGTTGAAAGAGTTAAAAATCATGATCCCCCATCCTGGAAAATTTTGAAAATTCTTACAAAGGGCATTCAGAGTCACCATTACATTCTGATGCACCATGTCTTTTAAGAGTGACCAAGGCAAAATTTCTCCTTACACCATCAATACAATATCAATCAAACATCAAGCAAACAAGTGATGAGAAAAAAGAGAAATATCCATCAGAGCATTATACGTTGATTCATTACCAAAGTCTCCGAACTAACATCATAAGAATTGCATAGCACACAGTAAGGAGAATTACTAAAGCGATCTTGGGAAATAGAAATCAAATAGCTGTTTTAATTCTCATCATTGAAAACATTGTGATTCTTTTTAAGTTCAGTGAAACACTTTTAAAAAATTGAAACTTTGTATTCAAGGCCAACGGTTATTCTTTACGTACATCGTTTTCGTCTCGTCGTAGACATTTCCAGCCAAAATCTGATGTTTTCCTTCGAAATACGTATTTTCTGTAAAGTTCAAGTACTTCTAAACAAAATTGCCCAATGACTTACTTATTTTTCGCAGATTTAGACCGACTAAGCTAAGCACCTTTTTTTCTTTTCCTTCGGATAAAAGATGAATAAAGAAGTGGTTTAAAAGAAGAAAAGCTAGAGTAAAGCTCTAAAGATAACTTACCGCATCAACAGTGTTTACTAATGTTATGACTCGATCTTTGATGACATTTTTATCCCTGTTAAATTTCTGGTACTGTTGAAAGCAGATAACATGATCATTGTGGGGAAATTCAAGTTTTAGTTATCGCGAACTCTATTATTCCTTGGGTGTTAAAAAAAACCCAAAGAAACAAATAACGTCAACCTGGTCATTGGAAGATTTTGAGGTGTACCTGAAGAACAAAATTTCCTCCTTTGCCTTATTCCCTAGATATAGCAACAGAAGAAAATAATGCGCCTTCAAGGAGAGACAGAAACCTAGTAGGGTAGACAGGGATAACGTGGTTGATCCAAGTTTTAATCTATAAATTTATCGTCTAAGTTTAGACTGTATTGAATGTGTGAGTGAAGGAATTTTGGCTTCATAACTAAATCTCGGTAAAATTGAAGGTAAAGGTGAGAGTAAGAGCAGTTGATCTGATAATCAGCCTAAGAAGCAAAGCATTGATCTGTTGTGATAAACAGTACTTACCATTTCATTGTCAACACAAATGAAAATTTCGGTGTATCGCGTCTCATCAGTCGTCAGATATTTCTTGTAGAGCTCATCAATATGACCTGATATCTTACGTCTCTCCTGGATCTAAACCAAGATAATCAAACACGGTTGTTTAGAGTAGTGATGAAAATTTGTTTTTACTTTTTGCTTTACTTAAAGAAAAGTTTATTAGTTTATCAATTTCAGTTCTAAAGATATATAATTATAGTTATTTACTATAAAAAAGTTTCGGTATTTTTTCTTATTTTTAGCTAATCAAAGTAGGGTTGGTCATTGAGGTCAGAAAGTGTAAGATTGAGAAAGTATTACTTAATTATACGCTAATCTACGTGTTTTTTTTCTCTTTCGTCTTTTTTTTTTCTATATCGCCTCACGTCTTTTGCCATTTCGCAGTTCATAATACCTTGATCATAACGATCTGCCAAACTTGAGCTTCCATTTCTGATCCCGAACTGAAAATTTAACTCTTCAACACTTGTCATTGATTTTGACAACCCTGGTATATTCTCAATTTCATGACTAGAAGCTTACTTTATTTTCTCACCTAAGATGTCATACAAACTTGCGTTTTACCTATTTCGCCATTTAATAATTTGTTTGTTTATTTATTTATATATCTCGTTGTCTAAGTAGTGACCACCTACCCTCGCAATTGGCCCAAAAGTTTCGTTTAAGGAATGGGAGTCTGCTTGAGTGTCGTTGTTTCCTGAAGAAAGAAAAAAATGGTGAGTATCAAACGTACTAACCGCTATAAACATGACATCACAAATAAGTACAGCATCTATTGGGAATTTTTCTGAGGCAGTAAACTTCTTCAAATAGCAAACAACAACATATGAAACCTTTTTAAAGAAGTTTTGAAGCAAAAAAAGGCGCACCGATTGAATGTTATGTTTTCGCAATGAAATGATTTACCACACTTATGGAAGATATCTTGGGACTCGTCTTCTTCGGCTCTACTGACTCTGTGAATTCCATTTCCCTGAAATTTGATATATTAACGATTTTAAAGAAAACGAGGTAAAAAGGAAGCACATTTTGAGCGACACGATTCACTTGAATAAAAACTTAAGTTACTACAGAGATCTAGCGTGAAAATAGCAATCAGCATTGGCCAAAAACAATACAAACAATGAGAATTTTCATAATGTTGTGTATAGGAAGGTGAAGTGATGAAAATTCTTGTACACTTTATCTACATTCTACTAATGTTACGATTTGTATTTTAGTTAAACTTGCCTCGTGTCCAGTCTCAGGTATAATATAAAACGTTTCATGGCCATCGCCTATCATGCCTCTGAAAAAACAACATTGATATTTCTCATTTCCATATCAAGAAATTTTCAATTACTACGGAAGCAATTTAGCATTTCATTGGGTTTTCCTTTCAACGATGTGTTATTGAAAGTGAGTTATTCACTCACGATTTTCGACGCCTCAAACAGTGTACTTATTTCTACTTTGCGTTCTCGTTGGCTTAAAGTGATGTTGACATTTATCAGCTGTTTTAGTTGCTTTGACGATGGTTTTAAAACACGCGACTGAAAAGCTCCCTGGTGTATGCATTAGCAACCGACACAACATAACATTGTCAATTCCTTGTTTCTTTACTCTCAGGCTGCTTGCAGTAAATGGAACAAATCAAGATAAGAAGTCATGCCTTTTCTCCACGCTTCTTACAAAGTATAAACTCCATGGACTAGTATCCTGTTTGCTATTACGAGCTTTTTGTCT